TTAAGATACAGTGGCAGAGCACTGGAACAGGCTGCCCAGGGAGGATGTGCAGTCTCCCTCTGGAGATATTCCAAAGCCACCTGGACGTGTTCCCGTGTCACCTGCTCTGGGTGACCCTGCTTTGGCAGGGAGTTTGGGCTGGATGATCTCCAGAGGCCCCTTCCAACCCTAATGATTCTGTGCTATGTCCAACAGCTGTCTATGTACATCCTGCCAGAAGTTACAGCAACCCCTGCAGATTCAGCAAAAGGGAGCCTCTCTGTGTCTCATCATGCTCACTGAAGACATGGCAAAGAAGAGCTCTGGCCACATGCAGAATGCTCAAGCATCTGCAGCACATCGATCTGTCTGTGGGCAACAGATGCCTTTGCAGACATGCAGCACTCCAGGCTCCACTTATGCTCGTTTGCATCTAAATACTGCTAATTGGAAATTAAACTCACACTTCCCTGGCTCTGAGCAAGAAAAGCATGCCCCTTTAGCCTAGAGTTAATGTCTAGGCTTGGTTAATCATCCTGGCTCTCTCCACCACCAGCAGAGACAGACAGTGCTGCTAGATGATTCACTCTCATACATTCCTAATGAATCACTCTGGCTACCTTCAGTGATGAGGGAGCAGAGAGCATCCATACACACTGACTAGAGACCTGGCCTTCAGACAGCTCAAGGAAGATAAGATACATCCCACCTGAATGGCCTTTTCTTTTGAATGTGTGTAATGGTCAAGGCAAACGAAAAAGGAACCCAAACCGTGGCTTCTTGACACAATAACCTACAAAACTATCATGAAAGCAGTAATCCAAACCCACTAATGTCAGTGACAATAACCCAGAAGGTAATTCCCGTAGAAGTCATCAGCTGTTCCCCATGAGACCCAAGTGTGCCACAGCCTTCCTGTGTGCCGATGTGTATCACATATCTGTCCAACAGAGAGGCCACTGCCAATTCACATGCTGTCTATGTTTTCAGTCAGAGAAGAAAAGAAGCCACTGACCCAACAGCTTGGAAATCAGGTCACGAGATTCCTTCTGTGTGATCCTGGTATCCTGCATGAAACTTTCTGTCCAGACAAACACCTATAACCCTGTGCTGTCAACATAGCTTTGATTTATATCCTTGGCTTGGCTTCCACAGTACTTTTAACCCTTCTGTAGAGGGTCTGCTTGGGCCCAAGATGCACAGCTGGGGAAGTGGCAGGGAAAAACATGGCTCTGGCAGTGGGAAAGCAGCTAGACTCTCCTGCTGGCTTCAAAGCTTTTGCGGGGGCACACCAGGCAGGGCAGGCTGCCAGGCTTCTCTCAGCAATAGCTGCATTGCCAGGAAGCAAAAATGACCCAAGGGATCCACTACATCACACAGAGGTACGAGATTTGCACACACAGACCTTGTGCTCCAGTGGTCCTGGCTACCCATTCTGCAGAGGGGGTTCTGCCATGCCCATGAGAGGGCAGTTCAAGATCCACTGGAGCAGGCCCAGGGGCTGGATCAAGTTCCACTGGCTCTGAAACACTCAGCTGTGTGGTGTCACACAGCCCTTTATCTCCTGAGGGGAATGGGATCTTGTGCATTTTCATTCTGAACACATTAAGCAGGTATCTCGATGAAATACAGCACAGTCAGGCTCTGAAAAGATTCCCTGTAGGTGTGAAGACTGCGAGTGGCACACATCATTCTTCATTTAACGCTTTGTTGATTGCTGACTTGCGGATTGTTCTCCCTCTGAAATATCCTACCCATTCTTTCCACATGGGAATGTTGACCAGAGTAATTGAGATGTCTTTACACATAGATTTGGCATGGAGTCTGCAATGGCAGTGACATACTGATCTGGCTGGGCTTGTACCTACCCTGTGGCTGAGGCAGGAGAGCAAATGTCTGCAGTGTCTATGTCAGCTCCATCTGGAAAGAAAAAGGGTTTCTCTTTGAGTCAGCACACAGTGTCAAGCAGCCAGGCACTGACTGCTCCAATGGGCTCCTCAAGCTTAGGACAACATCCCTCACCAACCAGCTTTTAAAAGATCAGTCACATCCAAGCACATGCCACCAGCTGAAACAAGCCTATTAAGCAACATGAACTGAACGCTCTGAAGGCACTACTTACAGCAGTTTGTCCCGTACTACTCCTCAGAAGATCCTATTTCCAAGGCTTATAAATTAACCAAGTTCTGCATTTGCTGCAGGCAAATACACCACAAACCAAGAGCAGCAGGAGCACACAGTCCCTTCCCTGCAAGTATTTCATAAATAATAAAAATCAGTCTATGAAAGATGGGAGAAGACTATCAAGTGTACACAACATTCGTGACTTACACCCACCACAAATGTGTGCCAACACATCCATTGACTTCCTTTTCACTTGGTCGGCATCTGACCTTGCCATGTTCATTCCAATAATAGAACAGCTTCAAGCTCAAAGTCATCTTTCAAATAACTTTTTTCAACTGATAATGTGCTCCCACACTTAAATGAACCAAACTTTTAACTACTCTTTAACCCATTTTTTTCATACAGGTAAAATGCCAGGACAGTACAGAAAATAAGCAGGTATATATTTAATAAAAACATGTATTTTAGTAATTGGCAGCGTGTGTCAATGCAAACAAATCACGAGCTCAGGCAAACCAATGTAATGCATGTTTTCACTCCATGTTATTGGTTTCTTAATTTTGCAAACAGGAGATTTTTGACTGCTTTTAAAGAGGAAATCAGCAAATCAATACTAAATTTTCTGTAGAAGGGAGAGGTATAAAATGGTTCAAGTTATCACAGAAACAAATTTAAGCAAACTGGTGCCACAGATGAAGTAATCAGGCAGAAAGAAGAATTAAATCTCTTCCAAAATTATTGATTTATGATACTATGTCAAGTTTGGGACATAAATATTTATTATCTTGCAGCTCCTTTTCCTTCAACACTAAGATTAATTTTATTCGTGTCTTTCTAATAAAGGGTAACTCAGCTAAGTCCAAGCAGTGAACAGTAAGACAATGTTAAATTTGCTCTCTCCTGAGAAGTAGAGAGCACATTTTATGTCAAATTATTCCATGCACAGGGAACACTGCAATACCGGGTACACAGAGCCCCACCATGGATTACAGGATTAGACTCCTGTGTATACCTTGGAGCTGTCTAATAAATTTAAATTAAACTGCCATAAAGTAGACAGGGGCAGTCCTTTTAGTCTTGCCCTAGAGTACAGCAAGAAATGTATTGTGCTATGTATTTGCCTTATTAGCGAGTTCTTCCTGCCAAGAAGCAAGTTTCCCTAAATACCAGAAGCTGACAGAGAACTCTGAAGGTTTAAATCCTTTCACTCTTTTAGCTGGACATCAGCAATGAACATTTCTTCAACAACTCACAGTGCAAAGGGTTGTTGTTTTCCCTGCAGGACTCTAATCTGATAAGGAGCCAAGAGTCAAGCCAAATCTCAGCAAAAAGAGAAAGAAAAAATATTACGTCTTCCTCTTTTTTTTTTTCCCCCTTGCTCACAGAACATGACCAAACTGGCCTTTAGTATAAGTTCAGCTCACAGAAGTCATTCTTGAAAGCCCATTGGTGGAGAGTGCATTTCCTTCTCCTTTCAGGTTGAAAAGGAAACTTTCTGTGAGTTTACTGTAATGGAGTGTTTGTCTGTATCAGAAACAGCCTGACCTCTCCAGCCACAAGATGAAATACCAGCAGCCCACTCTGTCACTAGTTCACTATTAGGAAATTACATGGGAGGAAAGACAAAACACAAAATTCACAGGGAGAAAAAAAAAAAAAAAAAAGAGAAAAAAAGCCATCAGTAGTGGTGGGAGTGAATGAACAAGCTTAATAATGAAGCCAGCAAAAAGGAAAATACCCTCTGGCCGATTGATAATAAAAGGTTACTTGAGGCAAAGGGTCAGATCCTGAGCAGTGTAAAGTGGCCCAGCTTCTCCAGCCTCAGCAAAGCAACAGTGATTTATAGCAGCTGCAAAAAGCCCCAGGAGACAGAAAAACCCAGCTATAAAAATGGAACTGCAGGCCCACATTTTGCAAAGCTTCCACTCACTTTTAGCACCAGACTGAGGTACAGAGGTGACTCTGAGGGTTTGTTTCTGCGGGGGAGTTCCTGTGAAGTAAGCTGAAGTGTGAATTTACACTGCATCTACTGCTGGGTCTTTAAGTAGGTTGTAAATTCATACCCTAGCCTATTTTACAGGGATTTCCCCAAGTAGATAAGCCCTAAATTTGCCTCCTAATCATGGAGGCAGACAAAATAAATAGATGTTTTCAGCACTGCAGACCCACACAGGAATCTCTCTATTGCTCGTAGGGGCAAGTGGGTACTGGATAGTACATATATATTGTATTATAGTCCTGCAAGTGCATAGTGCCCTTCTTTCCACCACTGACCCCCAGAGCCCCGGCCACTCATCTCTCTCAACATCCCACTACTTCAAGAAACACCTTTGAAAACCCTGGCCCTGTTCCAGCTTCATGTCAGTCTTCCATGCCCTGGCCTCTGGATGCCCCTGGAATGGGCATTCCCTTTCCCATTCCCATTCCACATCTGGAGGTCCATGTTCTCCCCTGACCCTCAAGTGTAGCAGTAAAGCTGTCCTGGTACAGAGGTGTCTCCTCCTACAAGTTCCTTACCTCTTCACCAACCTAACCATGTCCTGTCCACGCCTCACCCATTCCCAGAAGCACTGGATCCCTGGGTTAATGGGTGTCCTTTGAAACCTCCTTCAGAGTCATAAGGTTAACTCTATGCCAACAAATGCCAAGAAGCTGGGTAAGATTACTCACACTTTCTTGGCAGAAAGATGCTTTTACAGGCAGCCGAACAGGAAGCCAGAGGCCTTCGGCAGAGCCAGAGGAAGCAGCTGGCATGGTCACAGCTTCACCAGGGTCCTCAGGCTGGGGGTTTGGGCTTCAGCAGGCTGGGGTGAGCAGCTTGAACCACACTAGGCCCGGGCTCTTTCCCTGGGAGGCGCAGTGAGGCTGTAATGGAGCAGAGCATTTACGCCTTGGCTAATGTGGCACCTTGCACCGCCTGAACAGCTCCTGTGCTGGCCCAGGCACTCGCTGCCCCAGAGCCAACCAGTCCCACCTGTGCCTATCCCACTCTAACACAGTGACAGCGCTGGGTCCTCAAGGATCCTTTTCAAGAAGTCAGTTTATAGTATCCTCTGTCACCCGATGCAAACATCAGGTTTCTCAAAAGCAGCTTGGAATGCTCTCCTTCAGTGAAATCCCGGATTTTGCAAAGCGTGAAAGACAAAGTCAGTTAACACTTAGAAGTTTGAGCCCTAAGGGAAGCAAAAAAGGCATAAAACATCTTTTGATTTCAGCAGAAGGAACCAGCCACAGTGAACAGTCATCACATACAGTACAGTATTCCATACTATCCTTATCTGCTGGAGCAGGTAACAGTACTCTGAGGAACAGGAAACACTTTCTAACAGGTACGAGACTGAAAAAGCTGTCTGAGAGACAGGTCACAGAGCAGTGATCCTTCCAGCACTTGCCTAAGTTTAATCTTTGATGCATATGAAGATTCTGCACAATAAGCATCTCTGAGCACAGAAAGAGCTCAGCACTCTTTAACAGCCAAAATCTGTGCTGCAGACCATTTCCTCCCTTCAGTTATCTCAAGCTTTCTTTGTGACCCTTTTCTATGTACTGTCTGCAAACATTTGTGCAACCGAGTTGTACCAGCAGTTGCACTTAAAGAAAGCCAGTGTCTGAGCTTGGCAGAACAGTCTTTAGAGAAACTGAAGTTTATATTAGTTCAGGAGCGTTTATCTTGGAAGTGTCTGGTCTTTCATCCAAACAGAAAGCACCAAGAACACAGTAAGAGCACCCAAACCCTACCAAGCCAACACCATGACTCATGACAGCTCTCAGAATGTTGTTTCACAACAATCCACAGAGCTAAAAAAGTAATAGAAATTTTGAAAGGTACATAAATATCAGGGAACAGCAATTGCATCATCACAATGCAAGCAGAAGAGAAGGTTGGATACTCTGGGAAAATTCTTCTGTGTGAATTATTTACTTGGCTGAAAAGCTTCCTCCTTCCTTTTCATCTTGCCCTGTTCAGCAAGAAATCCATATATTTGAATATGGAATACCATATGGTATCTTTCATATACTGTCCAGCAATTGCTTCCAGCTCCAGAACAAGACACTCAAATTGGGCCAGTCCTGTTAGAAAACTGAGTGCAAAAAGGTGGTTGTGTTTTACATCCTGAAATGTGAAAATCTGAGGTTTTGGAGATGATTCTGGATGTTAACTTGATCTTATATCACTGGCTTCAGTGACATGGCCCTATCATCAATAATTCCAGAGCCACAGCAGTAGGGTGCTGACCTGCTTCCCCACAGGCTCCACGTGCAGTGTGTCCACTATGACCAGACTCAACCTCATGCACAGCCAAAGTGACACAGTGTTAGTGCCATGTGGAAGCGGACAGAGAGCCACTCTTAAGTCCCAGTGCACACTGCAGTGGCTGCTCCAGCTGCCCTCTGATTGCTCAACTCAAGGGCTGTGTGAGAAAGTGCAAAAACCCCAGTGTGATCTTGTCATGAAACCTCGTCTCATTGCACACGAGCAAAACGAGGTTGAGCTTCCACTGCAAGGACACTCTTAGAGCAGACACTTTGCTGTTTCTGACCACCTGGTGAACTGAATAGTTGTTATCCACTGCTAATGTTATTAGTATCTCCATACATCTTTGCCCTGCATTTTGGATGCTCTGTACCACTTCAAAAGTACTAGTATTTTCAAAAAAGGAAGGCCCCATACACCTAATTTACCTCAGCCCACAGCCTTGGGCAACCCACGCAGCATCTGAGACAGGCAAGGAGTTTCCAGAGTATGGGAAGAAAATGGTGGAGACAACAGTAGAGTAGTGCAAAAAAGAAGTCAGACAATGGGGGTCACTTCATGAAGGGGGCTCTGAAATAAACCCGCATCAACCAACATTTCTGTCTGCTGAACAACAAGATGACACAGGGTGTGAAGGGAGAAATGCTGTGTTTTCACAGGGGTAAGCTGAAATTGGTCCCCATCTTAGGTCTCAAACCTATTTACAGCAATATTTTGTCTACTCATATGATGTATCATTTGGGATAAAGCATCTATATAAATGTATAAACTTTTGAAATAACATTTTATGGCTTTAATTTGCAGAGTATGATGTCTTTCATTTGTAGTTTTCCCAGGCTATAGATTTCCTGTCTATCATCTCCCTCTTGGTGTCAAAACTCCAGGGCCAAGCCACTCCAAGTCCTTACTGAGCGCACCACTTACAGGGTAACAGGGATAACCACCAGCATATTCCCTAAGCAGGGTATCCCAGAGAATTCACTCAACAAAACACATCCAGCAAAGCAAAGGAACAAGGCCCTTCATGTTAATTTAACAACCTGCTATCCCCTGAAATCACTGGCAATACTAATCTGTTTCTCTTGCAAGTAAACAAACATACACGAGTTTCCCATGCAATAACACACTGATTAAAACTTAGAGCATACGCCCAGGCAGAACATATTTCTCACATAAAAATGAGACCTTAATAACCCTTAAAGGAAACTCCACATAAACACAAAGCATCAAAAAGCCAGGAGCATGGAAGAATTCAGTCTGACTTTCAGTCAAAATTCAGTGATTCCTTTTATATCGCTTCAGTTGCAATGTTTTCAGAAGAACAGAGAACTGCCCTTTGAGATCTAACCAGTAAAAGGAGCACGGCTCTCCTTCTTCCACTGTCACGTAGTAGGGAGGCTTTTATGCCCTGCTAAATGTAAAATATTTTAGAAAAACAAAACCAGGAAACAAACTGGGATTTGGTCAAGAGTTCATGCTGGCTGAATCACTGTGGTGTGGAAACCACCAGCTCTAAAGATGGAAAGTCCAGAGCCATTCATTACCTCGAAGAAAGAAAAACAAAAAACAAAAAAAAAGAGGCATTAAAGACCCATAAGCTCTCCTAACATCGGAAACACAGGAGAGGCTACCTATAGGTAGGTGCCTTGACCTTTTTCCTCCTCATCTCTCTCTAAGCACAGCCAGCAATTTGATCTGCATCATAGTTTTTCATATCGGGTACAGTGAAAATTGTTTAAATGTCACTCCCTGACTCAACATGCAGAAATGCTGTAGGGTCAGGGCACTGCTTCTTCCCTCCACATCCTGCACCTATTGCCCTTTGAGGCCTTTCCCCAGGAAAAATAAATCGAAATCTACATACTTTACAGATTGAACATGGTCAGTTTCTAAGTTAAGACTTGTTCAGACTTCTCTGGATTGCCTTTTATCATCTGAGAGGTTCCAAGGAAATATTGCTCAGAAGCAAATAAAGCCCAGAAGCAAATAAGGTCAAATGTTCTTGGACAAGGACATAATAATAATCAGTGCATTTAGTGAGGCAGCACAGCCATTTTGAAAAAGGCCTGGGAAATCCTAAAATTGTTAAAATATATCTTCACAACTACTGACAAGATCTAGTAGAGATGTTTGTGTTGTGCTGGCTCATTTCATAAGCCAAAAATCTTATTAGAGAATCATTTTAGCAAACTTCAAAAGCCAAACTGTTGTGCTTGTAGGAAGGAGAACAGCTCTTGACAATAACCTCCCCATTCATTTTTTGCTCTGCTTGTTTCCAAAGTACTGGCATACAGAAATGTGCTACATTCAGGCACTAAACACATTTGTGTCAGATGCCCATCATGTTATTTGACATAACACTGTCAATAAAGTTAAGAATCCTATTGGCTTTCAGACTCACCTGAATGCTGTGCAGCCTTTTTGCAGCCCATGCTGGGTGGACCAAGAGCTGCAGAGGGAAAGGAATACACCTGTATACACACCACAGAATGAGAGGGGAGCTGGTCCAGCAGCTACACTTTGCAAGCTGAGGAAACCTGTGACCAGCTCTGCAACATATTTCCTTACACAGGCTTATCTACATCATTTATTCTCTCTGTGCCTCCGCTCTGTAAAATGGTACTTTTACATAACAGGCTGTGTGAGAATAAATACGTTGTGAAGTGGCACTGACAGGGAACATGGAAATACCTCTATCTATGATAACTCCGCATTACCAACCAGCCATTTTTAACTCTCAAAATTGAACGATTCCAGAGAATGTTACAGTGGAAGTGACTCACAAAACACTGAAGAATTAACACCCTTTCCTGAACTGAATGCAGTTTTGTGAACGTAGGTTTTAAAGGGTTCATTTAACTTAGTGATTCCATTTGGAGAGCAGTCTTTGAAAATTATAAGCAGCTTTCTACAGAGCAAACCACCAGCTAGCAGCAATGTTATTTCACAGCACTGGTGTCAATGACCAGGGAAGCCTTTCAACTCAGCAAAGAATGTTCCAGGATGTCTTGAGAAAAGGATTTATAACAACTGCACTTCAAAAGCCTGGCACTCTTGAGCATTAGTTTTGCACACTTCTAAATGGAGCTGGTGTTACAAAGTGCTTCTAGGCCTATCAAAATTTCACAGGCAGTATGTCAGGAGGGAATCCATCCTGAAATACCAAATCACAGTAAACTTCAGATAGCACCAACTTTTCCTACAGAGGCTTGCATCAATCATTCTCCCTTTCTCTTTCCTGAAGGGCTTACCCCGCACAACAGCTCCTGGTGACCTCTTCAGTGTGTGCAGTACTCCTTTGGGCTTTCACTGCTCTCAGATCCACATGCTGCAAGCACCTGTAACATGGAACAATACATTCTGAGTATTCCCTCTGCCCTGTGCCATGTCACCACTGCCACCCCACAGCTGGACAGTGCACATGTCCATCAGTGTCCAAGTTTGGAGCAGCAGTGAGCCTCTGGAGCCAGCCCCTCGAACACCCCGCTCGCTTCCTGTGCAGTCCCCGAGCACAGCCTGGATTCCTTTCAGATGGGACTAAGCTGAAAGAGGTACCCCAGCAGCACGGGCAAAGCACCTCAGCTGCACACAGACCAGGGGACCTCACCAGAGCTGCAGCTCTCCAGGTCACTCCTCGTGGCTGCTACAGCTGCCTGTGAAGAAATTGCCTTGAAGTATTAGACATTAATTCTCCTCCAGGGAAACTTAACAAACCCTTTCTACTCTGTGGTACAGCCACACAAAACTTGCATTGCTTTCCTTCCCCACCCCCTCCAAAAAGTAGCTTGATGCCTGTCCTTTCAGTTATTTACCCAATCAGCACCTCCAGTGGATCATAACATTTCAACATTTGATCTTCTGGACTAGTTGTCAAAACTGTCATCATTTAGGTCCTTGCCCACCTGCCAGTATCCTGTCACTCACCTCTTCTCTTTCACCTATTTCTACTCTTCCTTTCTTTCTTTTGGACTCACTTGTCTTGTTCTATGATTTTAGCTATGAATAAAGCTCAAACTCATCACTAATACCAAATTCTCTGAAATAATTCCATTTTCTGTGATATCTTTGATTTTATGTGACTGCATTTCTATGAAAGTTATACCAGCACAATCTGGAACTTCACACTATCTGTAATCACCTCCTTTTGGTCTTTTGTGGGCCAACCAGGCACCCTTGAAACTGAATGGAAGGACCTCAGCTGACTGCAACAGACAGTCCCCTAAATGCACTTAATGAAGTCATTCAAACAACTGATGCTATTTATACTGAATTTCATGACTATATGACATTCAGACATAACCATGTATGTTCTGTGTCTTTTGGAATACATTTTTCCTATTATACAATCTGAAAAAAATACTGGTTTTGTCCTAATGTAATTTTAAGAATCAAATTTATATACAAGACCTTTAGAAAACAGAGACCCACCTCCAAATGCAAAGAACAAACATTTGCATTACCTATTTATATTAAAATATGCAGAAATTTCCAAAGTATTCAGTCAACTTATAAATTTTTATAACTTCTTCAAATTGTTAACATTTTTTTAACACACAGCATTATTTCAGCTTTGTGGAAGGCTCAATAACAATCTTTCTGGTCTGGAAAAAAAGGAAAGAACATTATAATAAAGAATGCAGAATAAATAAAAACAAAACAGTACAAGCCGTACATCCACGCATACAAAGACAACTTTCATGGTGAGCTATAAGCAAGCATAATAACACAATGTGCTGCATGTTGATTTCACCAGTGAAAAGAATTTCTTCAGTTATTGAAGACTTTCCTGGCAGAATTTCAGAAAAAAAATTCTGACATTCTCCCAATCTGACTTCTGTGCAATGCAAGTCATGCACATTTTAAACACCAATGAATAATACTGCCTTTCTTCTGAGAACTGTTAACAGCTGTAGAAACTATTATACCCTGCTTAAAATCATGTCTCTGTAGTCAATACTCTCCAGACACTTAGCAATACTAAAGCTATTCCTGGGGCTAAACTAGAATTGTTATATGAGTACAAAGTTTGATTTATGTTAAATGAAACAACAAACATCTGATCTTTCCTTTTTTTTTTTTTTTTTTTTTAAACAGCCATTCATATAAACACAAGTATCAGCTGCATAACTAGAAAGTGATGCACCAAATTTACAGAATTTGGACAAGGGAAGACCACCCACCTTCAAGAAGAAAAGATTTGTCAGAGGGTGAAAGATTGCTGGTGAAGATACTTAGTACAGCTGTGGCTGCCCTGATGTCCTCATGGCCAGGCTGTGGTTTATGAGAGTGGATGTTCCATGAATCCAGTTTTTCAAGTCTTCTGAAAGACACAAAATTATCAGCAGCCTGGTGAAACATCTTGGCGATGCTCATCATCAGCTGCTCTCAGACAGATCACAGGCACAGTGGACTGCCTAATAAAATCTTCCAGATGCATCCAAGAGCAAGTCAAGATCTCTGTGTATTTATGTTATTCTTTCACAACCCAAAGCACAGGTGGGAACAGAAGAAATGCTCAGTTGTGGCTCCTCTGACATTTTTGAATCTATGACTGAAATAAGAGAGGAAAAAACTCAAGTGGAATAAGAGCAAACCTTAAAATACATATAAAATTTCAGATACATTCTATGGATTCTATGGATCTCTAAGACGTGCTGAAAATACAGTTTTGATTCCTCAGTTCAACAAACAACCACCTAAATTCCTTTTTTTTTTTTTTAATACATCTTTACCTTACAAGAAAGATGAATGAAGACACCTAAGAAAATATTATCAGTTTTGGGAAGGGTTTGTGATCTCTGACAAAGTCAGCAATTAATTTGACCAGTAACAATAATAAAGTGAGGGTTAAACTAATTTAAGTAAGAGACTCTTCCTCCAGAAGAGTACTCCAGTTTTTTCTAGATTAATTATAAATCTCTTGCTGTTAAAGTATCTAGAAAGATGAAAGGTAAGTTAATTGTTTAAGTTCATTGATATTTTTCTTCTGCCAGTAAATTACCTTTTTTTATAGCATGACATTTCATCTTCTAATTAGAGCTTTCAGGGGAGTTTCACTGTGTACCAGTATTTCCCCATGTGGCACAGGTACACCTCCACCTTCTCCAGCAGACATGCAAGCACCAGCATGCAAGCCTGTCTGCCCTGCTGCTGCCCCTGATGTCATCCAACACAGCTCTGCACACACAGTCCCCGTGCTTGGCTGGACAAAATGCTGCCAAGGTTGTGACTGTGGCACACTCAGTGTTCCTTCCCAAAAAGCCACTGTCAGTGCCACCAGCTAACCTTCACTCTCGAGATGGCTTTACTAAAGGTGCACGACTGGTGTTGCTGCCAAGGATGGGAACTCACTCTCACTACAAACGCGACTGTGCAAGACTGAGGACTCCACAAGCAAAACGATGCTTGAAATTCCAAATGCAGACCTAACCCACAGCAGAAATGCTGTCATTCTCTCTACCTTCAGGTCAAATACAAGTCCTTGTTCTGGGCTTGCAAATATTGTTATTTTTGGGGAAAACTCCCTTTGACTTTGCTCAAGACCCCAGTTTTCATTTATACAGTACTATCCCAGGCTGCTCCCAACCCCTCTGCTTTCCTTTCTCCCTACTCACTCACTCGCTTGACTTTTCCTATTCCTTTTATCCTTGTGTGTCTCCTTTTCTTCCCTGTGCTCTAAGCCTTATCCCATGCTGCCCTCTGGGAAGGCTTTGGATGTCATATCTCCATAAATTTGGGATAACACTCAAATTCAGTGGAAATAAAGCTGACCCATACCAACGGGTCTCTCTTGCCAAGGACTCTCCGTCCTTCTTCTTACCTCTTTGAACAATCTCATCCTGTCTTTAGTATCTGTAACTCCATTTCCTTCTCCTCACTGTTGGCCTGCACTTCATATTTGCTAATTTTCCCATATTTAGACTCAGAGTTTCTACAGGCAGAGTACAAGTTGCTAGATTTTCCCTTCCTTTGTCTATAAAACAGTATCTATGAAATGTTTTCCCATAACAATGGAAAGAGATGATCAATTTACAACAGCAAATCATATGGAAGCAGAAGGTGTGCACATAAGGGGGAAGCGGACACTCTCTTACATTTTAATAGGTAACTAAGAAATAACCCCCCTGGTGGTCTAGTGGTAAAGGCGCGGCGCTATCACCGCGGAGACCCGGGTTCGATTCCCGGTCAGGGCCACTCCCGGGCAGGTGGGGCTCATTAGCCCTTAAAGGCAACCCACCTACGTCCTGAGGACCTCACTGCCACCGTCCAAGCTCGCTTGGCCCCGGCAGATGAACCTTAGGATTAAAGGGTGGGCTCAGTTCTGCGCACACTGTGTCTCACCTAAAAAATCCAATGCGCAGGCTGGAAGGTGGAAAGACCTTCCCCGGATCTTCGCTCGCGAAGACTGGCCATTAAGAAATAACCTTTTTTTTTTCAAAATGACTGACCCTACACATTGTAAAAATGTATTATTTAGGAAAAAAAAAAAAGGCATAAGAAAGGCACCAAGATTACTAGAAGCTGTCGTATCCTTTAGTCTGGGAATTTCAGCTGGGCTCTCATTCAGCACAGTCACAAGGCAGTGCTGTAATTACAATCCTCTGGGGACTCCAAATGAAAAGACACGCTCAAACAACCAATTTCAAGGTCACATATTTGAAATCAGGGCAGCAGGGAACCAAAAAGCCTTACAAACCTTACAAAATAAGTACAAATCAGGCAACCAGGAAATTCTCACAGGTACAACACCAGCCTAACCTGCTACTACCACCGGTCAGTAGTTCCACTGAATGGAGTGAGAAAAATTAGACTGTGGGTTACGAGGGCAGTAATTTACAATGGGAAGTTGGGAGTGGACCACATGGAAAATTAAGTGGCTTGGAATGCAGACAAGCTTAGAGAGAGAGTGAAGCAATGGCTATTTTGAGAATCCCTGCTGGGCACAAAACAGCATTTGGCTATGGAGTGCTAATGACACAGGTGAAATGCACAAGGGCTGCAGCGTCGGGCAGGAAGAGTCAAATGACCTTATATAACGATATAAAAATGGGATTTCATCCATCACAAAAGAGAAATGTAACAGAAAAATCTCCAGCATGTAGGCATAGCCCAAGTGTGAGAACACAGCTTCCCAGCCATGGATCAGGAAGATCTGATCCTTGGCACTGATTCTGGAATGACAAAACTTTTAGACAGGTTACCTCCTTACTTTCCTGTGGGTAGGAAAATCTCTGATAACTGAAAAACTCTTAAGCAATGTTCTGTGCTGCTTTTCTATTGCAATAATTGCACATTGACTGCTGAGAACTGAATGGTGCCTGGTATGATTACTCTAAAACACGTAGCCATCCACCCAGACATTTACACTGTGCCTCTCCTAGTGCAGAGGGGCTACAAACAGGAACACACAGGGGCAAACAACGCTGTTAACACTTCCCATTTTGGCTGGTATCACTGTGTTAGTGCAGTCCATGGGCAGGTGCTGTCGTTTTTGACAGGCCTGTTGGGTGGCAGTGACAGGAATCTGTCAGATGCAGCCCACACACGGGATGTGTCCTGCACAGTACGCTGACCTCCTCCAAAGAAGTTTCATTTTTGAATTCTGTGGAGCACATGACAAATACCAGCTGGTCGTGTGCAAGGCATCACAGAGAAAGGGCATGGTGCAACAGTCAGGACACAGCAACATGGAAATACCCTCCGAAGGCAGCAGTGGGCTTGCTGGAGAGCACTCTGTGCTTCCTTGGAGGAACAGACTAGATCTCTGTGAGGAGGGACACTTGGCCCATCAAAGAAGGTAACGTGCTAAGGCACTTCTGCACTTCTCCTGCAACTCCCCGACCCTGCAGTTGCCAGAAGATTAGTGCTGTCATAAGGACGACTTTCAAGCAGCTACAGTCCTTGCCAAGAATAAACCACGAGTGTCTTTACCCTCACAGGATCATATTCACACCATGAGCTCCTTTTCCCCCAGGGAAAAGCCCTGTGCCAATGCCTAACAAGATATATGTCAAAGACCTTTGCCATTGCCTCAGTACAACCACAACTCTCCTCCCTGGTTCAACAAGGAAATTCTGAGGGACCTACTTACTTCTGCTTTCTGCCTTCTTTACAGCACTTAAGGTGCAAAGCTGAGGAACAACCAGTCACACTTCCTAGGCAGGTTATACAATATCAGAGACTCTCAACTAGCAGAAGACCCTCTGCACACCAGCCAAGGCAGCTCAGACTGCTTCTGCTCCTGTACAGGAGGTTATCTGATTCACAAAAGAGCTTTAAACTTTAAGCTATCAGACCACCCACCAAAGCCCATGAGACAAATGTGTGCCCTCCCTCTCCCCACCCTGTTGCAAGCAAGCTCCCCACCATTGCACAGGGATCGATTGGATAGGTTTCAGCACCTTTAGCTACACAGGTATCTTTGGGAGAGCACTTCTGCAGCATGCTCAGTACGGTGTGCAATGAGACAATGACAGTATTGTCTCTTTAACAAAAAGTTAAGAGTCCCTGAAATTACAATTTTTGGTTTTGAATATTATATTAAGACCAATGCAGAAACTGGTAGCAAAGGACTGATTCATGAACACCATCAAAATGATTCACCAGTCCCTCACTGGGAAGTGATATCGCTGCATCTCATCTCCATGAGAATGGCAGAACAGACACATTGTTTCACCGGACAGAAAAGTGCTGTATACTTCAAAATAAAAGTATTAAATCTGCAGGTGTGTATGACAAAGGAGAGGGGGCAAATTGTCAGTGCTCTTGGGCAGTGAGCCAGGTGCTCAGCACAGTGACTATCAGATACTTGTAAGCACTGCTGAAAAATGCCAGAACATTTCCAGAAAGGTCTGGGATAAATTGTAAGCTGAGAGTATATTGTACAAACTACACCAGAGCCCAACCAGATTCTTTTCCACCTGATCCATCACTTGCTGCTCCATCCCTCAAGCCACAAACAGTAAAATCCTTCCTTGCTCCCTGTTTAGCAGCCACATAGTGAGTGTGTTCTCACATTCTCTTACCTGACTCAGTCCCACACTCTCTGGCCCACAATATTGTCTCCACATCTCAAAACTCAGTCCTGCCAGGGGTCCATACACCTTAGCCCCATACCCACTCCTCCCCTCTGCCATGCCCAGCACCACTACAGGTGCTCCAGTGCTTCTCAGGCCAGGACTGCTGCACATCTAGCTCTTCCAATCTCTGTGTTACACGGATTCTTACCTCATGGTCACACTAAGGAGAAGGTAGATATATGCATGAAGCTGCTGGGGAGGCAGAAAGCAATGAAGTTTTAGGTTGTCTGCCACATGCTGCCTTCAAGGGTGACACACTGGATGACAGTTTTTTTAGTTCTTAGAACCGTACCTCGTGTTGGACACGCTCTCTGCAGTTACTCTGGGTGGTGGCAGCCTGTCAACACCTCAAAGCCCTAAGCATGCTGCACTCTGCCGTGCCTTTTAATTAATGACCTGCTCCTTGCACAGCAGGCAAAAGCAGGCTTGCAGCTACAGAACCACCAAACTGACAATGACAAGCTGACATCACCCAGATTAAGAGGATTTTCTTTCTTTTAATCTTATTCCTTCTCCTCAGCCTGCTCTGTGTTCCAAGAGGTCAAAGTACTACCCCTCCAGTTCACTTGATGCTTCTCCCTCCCCTCTCAAAAACCTACATTTAGAGCACCGAACATCAACAGCACCAAGCACTGGAATGACAATAAAATCAGTGCTGCTTTCCTCTCCAGCCTGCTGCCCATCTGTGCCAGAGACCAGGGACACTTTGAATCCAGGGAACTGCCAGAGAAGGGAGTGGCAAATTTTTGAATCACTCATTTCTCCAAAACTCCTTTAACTCTCTGCAGGAAGACTGGCAGGCCTGTTGCTATGCAGATCTGCTGGCCCACAGCATGCCAGAGGCTGCTGTCAAATCAAGGCTTTAGGAGCAATCACAGCCACATCCAAACAGCACTGGAGAAGTCATCTGCAAGGAAGAGCAAGTCCCATGCCATGTAACATGAAAGCAAGTTGTAAGGATTTATTCTATCACTTCTAAATTTCCAGGGACTGGCCTTTTAATGCAACTCATATCCTCCAATCTAATAACCTCCGTTCCCTGGAGCCTGGTGCTGTAGACACACAGACAGGGCTTGGAGCTGAGCACTCTGGAATTTCTGATGTACCCAGCCACACTTGGAGCCAGCCAGAGCCATGCAGGACTCCTCATGCAATCCATCTACTGCACTGGGTTCACCTAGAAAAGCAAGTCAGGCATCTACCAGCCCTCCAGCTCAGCCCAATCACACCGAAAGAGCAGATGGAAAGAAAGCTGCTCCCTCCATCCCAGCAGGGCCCACAGGCTCTGGGGTACTGACCAACAGCTCCTGTCCCAGAGAGCTGCTTCTAAAAGGACACACAGCCAAAGGAAGAAGACACACTCCAACCAGGAACTTGATTGAGTGGTTTTCCCGTGTGATAGAATACAAGAGAGACCATATTCTTGATACTCTTTCAGCATTTCTGTATAACAGACAAGGCCACGGGGGAACTCAAGCAGAAAATGCAAATGCCACTTCTTCGGCCAAATACACTAAAAAAGCACTGGACCTGATTTTAAACTGGTCACCCTCACTTAACATTCACGTAACCCAAACAACTTTTACAGTTACTCCTTGTGTAATTAAATAACAAGAAAACATAATTTTCTATTTTGTTTAGAGAAAAATCTACTGCTTTAAGCGTACAGAAGCATAAGAAACCTCTTAGCAAGCATTTCAGAGAACACTTTGCTTTGCTGAACATATTCCCTCAAGTTATATGATCTAGGTGAGCAGCAAGTGTTGTACTCATCTCTCTCAAAATTATCAAGTATCATCAGTTAACAAGTCCTGCATTAGTTTCCATCCAAAAAGTCTCCTTGCTGTGCATGCACAACACTCCTTTAAAGTCATGGAGACATACCCAGACTAGAGAAGACCAGAATAGATCACAGATACCCATTTTGTAACCATTACCCAGAAAAGTGAATGGTTCCATTCTTCTGTGTACTATAAAACCTCACGTACCACAGGAAGAGAAGCTTAAAGGCCACACTTTCACTTTGTGTGTGCATCTTCCAGTGATGTCAGCTGGGTGTGAGCTTCTGATCCTCGGCCAGCACAACTTTTCCCAGCAAGTATTTTCAAACATACCCCATCAGCTCTGGGCTCACGCTTGTATCCCAGCAAAATTTCTTGTCTCTCCACAACATCCACAGTTGCACTGTCATTTTTAAGTGGCAGCATTAAGCCTATTTCTAGGCATAAGGACAGCTGATAACTGTGGTGAGATTACCACAGTTTAAGAATTTAACAAAATGAAGATGGCTTAAGCCAATGTAATTCACCTTCTGCAGGAGAGCAGAGTTCCTGAAGTTCAGCTGGTTCCTGAAGCACAGCTGAGGAGTGACAGAGTGTTAAGCTACAGCATCGTGATTGCTTCTAATTGTCCCTTTTACATTCTAAGAGCTAAATTATCCTTGTTCCGAGGCAGGGGTCAAAATACTGCACAAATGCAGGTCACAGAGCAGAAGAAAGGTTATTTTCAACTTACTAGGCTTTCCACAAGATTTTCAGATTCTGCACATAGGCTTAACCAATTTCATCATTTTGGTTACATCAGAACATCTTTATATCAGAACAACCAACTTTTTGTTATAAACCCTTTTCTTTTTTTTTTTTTTTTTATTCTGGTTAGACGCCATCCCATTGAATTCAAATAGCTCAGATCCACACATAAAGATTGAGATGAGATAATGGAAATAAAAGATAATGAATCAACTGGCTTTGTACACAAAATAAGCATCTGTAATTACAGAGCAGCCAAAACGCTGACTCTGCCTTGAGTTACACTACACACTGGCCCCTCGGATCCCAGGACTTGAAATCACCTTTGCTCTCTCTGTCACAGGTCAAGTATAGCTCAGCCAAACCAGGAGATTTGTGCCAAACAGTTTGTATTTCCAACAATTAAATACTGAATTCTCCTTTTGGGAGTCACTCAGGAGTCACTCTTGCACAATTATTTGCATACACAGCCACTTTATTTCAGCCCCAAATACAAAAAGCTATTAACAGCTGGCCAGATTCTGCTCTCACTTGCCCCAGTGCAAAACCACATCATTTCCACTAATATCAGTGGAGCCAAAGTTTCATACCACACATGGGAGGGTAGAACTCCATTCCCACTGAGACAACTCCCATCTCCAGCGAATTGTTGTGCCTGTGGCACACAGGGCCTGGAGGTTTCTGTTCTGTGGCACACGCTGCCCCCTCTGCCCACTGTCTTCCCAACTCCTCTGCAGCCCCACCATATCCCTCACGGGCCTCAATTATAAATAGACCTTGTTTCCCAGACAGACCAGAGCAGGTTACTTATTCCACTTAATTCACTGGATTTACAGGAAGAACACCAGCTGAGTATCACTGAACAAATGACAAAATTGTTTCTACAGTGTATTTACACACAACAAAATGAACAAATCAAGTAAACCAACTGTCACAAAGTCCCTTCTATTAACTGAAACCAGAAGAAATCCTCTTCAGTACTTCCAGTACTTCTAAATGCACACTTATGTCCTAAGTAACTTAGAGCTTACAGCAATTACTTGGTCCTCAAAGCCTTGAGCCAAGTTTTCTCCACAGTATTTACTCCCTGGAACCCAAAAGAGTCAACACATAACTGGTCTCCAGCCCTCTTTCAGTGCCCTCCACACTGAGGGTAGACTTTGCTCATTCTCCCTGACTGACAGATCATCCTGGTTTAACTTCTCCCGGACTCCCCTCATTCGCTATACACGTCACAGCCATGTCACACTCCCTGTGCAACACCTGGCCAGTGAGGGACAGGCAGCTGGTTGGGACACTGGGAACTGTGGACTGAGAAACCAGCACAGTGCTGTCAGCCAGTCAACTGCAGTGAGTGCCAGAGCATGGACAGCCAGCCTGAGAGAACAGAAATCTTCATCCCACTGTCCCTGCATGCCCACAAGCAGCTGGGTTAGGAGTCACTGCTCTGTTCTTCTACAGACACAGCTTTTAGTTCATAACCATTGCTTTGTGCTTTTATTTCTTTCTGGTAATGTAATAGAGCAATTCCCAGTTATCAAAAATGGGCCCATTTGTGACCCTGCTGAGGTTCAGAGGTACAGCACTGAACACACAGAGCACTGGCCAAGCAAGCTCCTGTTCTTCCCATCAGGCAGTCCGACCTCAGACAGGATTCCCACACTATCCCATACAGCTCCATCCCCTAGGATTATGTGTCTTGCAGACA